TTTCAGATTTTTATTATTATTAAATTATTTTATATATATATATATATTAACAACGGTTTTCCTCTTTCATCCTTTGATTATCAATAATTTAATTTTAACCTGAACTTGCTACATTTCATTAAATATATTCGTTGCTTTCTTCGAAAAAATAATTATGAAAGAAGTATAGCAGACACTTGTCTTTGGAAAGATATTGAAAGCGGAATATATTTCATAATGAAAGAAAAATGGATTAGGAGTAAACTTTTACGTACTGCAACATTTCTTCAGAATGCGAAACATGTGAAATACATGAAGGGCACATTTGTAATGAAATAATAACACAAATTATCAGTTGTGTGGGACGTAATTTAATATTTGCAGTTTTATTCTTTATCATCAAAACACTTATAAACTGAGGATATGAAATGAATGCGAGTTTTAATTAAGTTATTAGACAGCCGATATATTTAAATTAAAAATTTACAATTTTAAGAGGGGAAACCAATCAAATTCGAGTAATAAAATAGAGTTTCAAATTACGATTAAAAGTATTCGCATATTTCAAAAACCATTTCCAATTTCGACTTATTCATTAAAAGTTTATTTATTCGTTTAAGCACAGTTTCATTTTAATAATCGAGTTTTCAATAATTTTCTTTGGAAACTCTACAGAAATTTATATTTTAATACCCAAATTATGGTACATAAAACATACTTAGTGCAGAGCGAATCTGTAATGGAACTGCACTTTAATAAGCCTCACATGAAATTATGTCATGCAGTGTGAGAGAATTAAAAAAAAAAAATCAAAATGAACACGATGAAAGGATTTCGCGGAATTTTACAAGCACACGTTAAGATAAAATTTGTTTCTTTCTATGATAGATTGTTTCGATACACGTCGCATATTCCACACATGAATTATTCAGAGAGATTTTCAGAAGTTTATTTTTCTTTAACCCGTAGATTTATGGCAAGATTCAAAGTTTCGTAGTTTCGTCTTGGACAAGATGCTAAAAAAATATTCCGGGAGGCGCTGAAGCAGTGAATATTTATCCAAAGTTAGAAATACCATATGATAAATACCAAGCATATATGTTTACGAAAACAGAATTGCGATAAACGATTACGAAAATTTACATTTGACATTTAATTTGAAAGACAGAGTGACATAATTTGAAAGATATAGTGAAAGAATCGTCTTAACATGCATGGGATATGCATGTGTTATTTTTTTATATCAAAGAACTAGTTAAAATATCCATTCTATGCCTGGAGGGAGGAGATTATCAAGGAAAACAGAAGAGCTTATTCTGAAGGCAGAAAAGCACAACTATAACACAGAAAATAATAAAGAGTATTTGAGTTTCCAGTTGTCCTTTTGAGCGTGCCCCATTACATCCTATTCCCTGATAGCAAGCATTTATTGTCTCCTCCTTGAGTGCACCCCGCCACCATCTCGTCCCTTTCAGTCCCTCTCCCTCCTCACTCCTGCGAAACCCTGACAAACCGATGGCCAAATACATACCTCGTTATGTTATACGCCATCCATACTGAAGTAACCGGCGTTGCCGAAGGTTTAAGAAGAGCGAACAGGCTTCATTTATTTAAGGCTTCATGTAAGAGTAAAGAGGCTTCATTTAAATTTAGTTTTCTGTTCGAAACCTCAGGTGGCCAGTGATTTCAACGTAAATTTTCAAAATTTTACCAAGCTCGTATAAAATTGTGGAACTACCACTGCGCCAAGTAACGGCTTTAGTAACATCTAGAGTTTGTTTTGTTATTTCTTATATCATTTTGGGAAATGAACTTTTGGATAATCAACATCCTATTTGTCCGATTTCCTCACCGTTTTGGAAGTATTCACGAAAACCTGATAGAGAACGCACTTAATTTTGCTTTACAGCTTCTACGTTGTTCTAGAAATTCTGCACTGTTCTAAAGCGTAAATGAGCATGGCACCATCTAACAGATTTAGTAAGAACTAATAGCGGTAACGCGAAAATGGCCATGTTAACCTAATAAAAGCAACGTGATTTCAAAATTAAAACTCTGGACAGTTATTAATATTATTTATTTGAAAAAAATTGCAATTTCTTTCCTCAGCGTGCATACTTTCTATTGATACCGGTAACATAAGAAGGGCGACATGAACCTAAGGTGGATGGCGTAAGCGTAGCGTTTAAATATAAAAACCCTGAGTGTGAACTCTATGCGGTACATTTCCGAAATCTTATGTAAACATGGCATTACGCAGGTTTTCAATATGACCGATGACACACATCCTTATAGTGTTATATTATAGACTAATTAAAGTTTTCCATAATTATATCATGTTATACTTAAAATGCCATATTTATTTATAAATATTTTTTGTAATTTAAATCTCTAAAAAGTATATCTTAAATTAATAATAATACGCTTATTTCTGAATACTTAAAAAGGAAGAGTGTTTAGATGTAGCCAACCTTCTCTAAATTTGTGGGATATCTTCAAAATATTTGAAATTTCACCAATGAATGATCATACAGTAAATATTTTTATTTAAAGTTTCAACCATAACGTGGAATTTAGTAAAAAACTTTTTAAAAGTTTATACCGATTAGAAAGCATAATAAAAATATATTCGTGATTTAAAATATACCTAGCGAAAATGTAAAGATATATAGAGGGATCCGAAAAAAGCAAATTGTCTAATGGAATATAAGCGCGGAAATGGGCCATTGATATGGAATAGGGCGTTATTGGGGGGGAGTAAATAAAAGGCTCATAAATTGCCATTCCCCGAGCTAACTTGGACCATCGATACAGGAATGCGGATCTCGCCGACATGAATTTTGTATATGGGGGTGCAGATAAATTAAGCAGAATTAAGAGAATTCAGATTAAATTACGAAATCGGCTGTCTAAAGGCAAGTTATAAAGTATAAATTTAGTCTATGTGTATTTTAGTTATGTCCATGAAATCGCATTTTGTTATAAATGCACTTACTTTGAATAAATAATTAATAGTTGATACTGAAATTTATACAATATTTAAATTTCAGCTTAAATCTACTATTCCCATTTCTGCATGGAATTTATTTATTATTTATATAATATTTAAATTTGAGCTTGAATCTACTATTCCCATTTTTGCATAGAATTTATTTATTATAGTTAATCAGTAGGAAAATATCTGCGTTATTAGTTCTTTCTTTAAAATCTCAGATCTTGCGTAGCATCTTGAATTAATTCGGAACAACTTGAGATAACGCATGTTTAAAACTTTTGTGGATGTCGTGTTAAATGCTATAAAGCTAAAATAAACGTTATGCCATATACTATGAATGCATGAATTATGAGCAGGAAAGGAACTGATATACTAGCTCTTTGTAAGATAATGTTTGATTTCACCAAGATACTTCTTGAAAACAAAACCCTTAGTAGAGGATGTCTCGAAAGGTCGTGGCCAAACTTAACATCCTGGTCTGTCATACCACGACACACAGGATTTATATAGGAACTTGTGGTAACAAATGCGAACGGTGATCGCTAGAGGGTAATGTTAGCAGGTTATGGGAGAGTGGGTAGTGTGATCATTTCAGGCGAGGACGCTGCAGGAGAAGGATGAATCAGTTCACTAACTCAGTTTTTTATGGACATTTTGTGAAAAAAGTGTTGCCGGATCTGATGGTAGACGTTGTAGTACCTGTACGGCCGAAACATCTGGTTTTAGCATGATAGAGTGCCTGCACATTTTAGCAGCACTATGTACGAATACCACAGTAGGACATATCTTAATCACTGGATTGACAGAGGCGGACCAGTCACATGGCCACCCCGTTCCCCCGACCTGACTCTCCTGGATTTATGCCTGTGGAGGGTAACATGAATCCCATGGTGTACGCGGTGACCCTAACATCGGACATGGATCTCGTCGCAAGGATCACGAAAGCGGGGACACATGTCCGTGATACACCATCCCAGTTTTAACGAATCCGTGAATCCATGCGTCGACGTTGTGAAGCATATAATTTGGCGAATGGAAGGAACTTTGAACATGTTCTATGATTTAAACATGTTCTATAATAAATGTCATAAAAATACCTCTTTCTACGTTATTTCTTTTTTCCCCTCTACGCTTAAGAACATTGCCTTCCCCCAGGGATCGCCGTTGGAATTTTCGAACACAAGTTCCTATGGAAATTTTGTTTGTCATGGTATGACAGACCGGCATGTTAACGAACTTTTGAGACACCCTGCATATGCGCATCTAAATACTTAAAATATACATCAGGTTAGTTATCAGCTTTACCTAAATATTTTATTAAATGGAAGCGTATGCTTTTCTTTTTAAAAAAGTCTGATAGTTAGACCATACAGATACATTTCTTACAAAACACTATCAATATATCAAACATAAAATGTTATCTTAATGCAGTCCTTTTTCTTCTCTTGTAAAATGTCTACAAAAATGCAAAAAATTATCTTGTATTTGAAATTTGAATCCATTAGGCATATACCTATACACGGTGAAAAAAACTATCTCTGTCTTTAATGTGAATATACGAGCAAAACATAATTTAAGTACATAGTTAGCACAAATAGAAATCCTGATTATGTCTAGCATTTCGAAACGAATAATATATTTACAATCGTAAATAATTTATTGCAGAAACCCTTGGAAAGAATATTCTTCTATAAGGAGAAACTATTTCTAATTACGGAATACAGAAATGATACTAAATTTGAATATACCTTTTCCGATTTTTAGTTGAAAAAATATACCATGTCATTTCTCACATTTAACAGTTTAAATTGCTTTGATTTTAATAGATCTAAGTAAACTAAATTTATAAATCTTTATTAGGTATTTCAGAATTATTTTATACATTACAAATAGGTGAAATAATATATTTCATTAAATCCTTATGAGACAATTTTACTAAAATTTTAAATATTTCATAGGATTGCTTAAAAACCTACATATTAACAGCTTTTAAAAAGATTTTAATAGGTGTTTGTATTCGTTTCAGAAACGATTGCTATTCAGGGACAAGCAGGGTTCATACCCTGCCATGCTTTTCAATTTCTAAAGAGCCCTCAAGCAAAACCAGTTCTTCTCCGATGGTTCCACAGTCGGCACTACAAACCGATCTACACTTTAGATGTGCGTTTTATCGACTCTTCCACTTCGACAGAAGTTTGGGGAAGTGGACGGCATTTTCCATCACCTGAAGGTGAAGGGCGGATGTATCTCGACGTAAATTCAAATCCAATGGTACTCAGAATTGATCCCGTGCTTTATGAAGATTCTGGAGTATACACTTGCCGACTTGATTTTAAATCACAAAGATCTGTGTTTGCAACAGTGGTTTTGAAAGTTATAGGTAAGTGAGATGCAGTGTGGGGGTGTTCTTGATAAATACCGACATTTTTTCTCAGCGAATAAATTGCTTTACTTTTGAAAAATTATTTAGATAGAAACTACAAGCATGATATTTTTTTCGTTAGCAATCTGATTTTACTAAATTGCTGTTTTGAATATACATATAATATTAATAAATATATTACTAAACGTATTGTTGCGTGCGTACGGGTTCGTAATAGGTTGATTGAACAAGTCTGGTGAAAAGTTAAAAAAAATGTATTCTTATCACAAGAAATGAAACAAAATGCTGACATTTTTCCTCAGAGATATTCGTACAATATCACATTATCACGCAATATAAACAAGAATAAAATAAAAAAGATAAAATTAAGTGGAAGTTAGTCTAACAGCAGATTGGTAGATTGCAATTCCATGAAGAGTGTAAGAAACCTTAACAAACCCTTTTGGACGACTATTAAATGCTGAAACCTTTCAGATTTTTTTTAATTGTATTTCCCTTAAATGCCATTCAATGCTATTCTTTGATTTACTAGAGTCTTTAGTAAATTTCAGCAGACCAATTATGTTACATTTGGTCTACTGAAAGAACTCGTACAATTTACAGTCTTTAAAAAACACGATTTCTTATACTTTCAATAAGTTTCATTAATTTAGAATCAGTCAAACGAACAGGGCACATATTTTTCATTTTTACTTCCTCGTACGAAGTAAAAAGGAAGTATTGTGATCGCGAAAAGTTTCAGGCAAAATATTTCAACGAAAATATCCATTTTGACCGCTATGGAATCAATTTAACGAAGCTTTTGCGTGATATCTGTACGTAAGGGCAGAATAAAAGACTCGTTTCCTCCAAAAAAATTATAAAACTGTTTAAAATTAATTCTGAAGAGAATTTTTCGTGGCGTCTGTACGAACGTATGTACATAACATACGTATCTCGCATAACTCAAAAACGAGTAGCCTTAGAACGTTGAAATGTTGTATATAGGACTGCTATAACATGTAGATGTGCATCTCGTATTTTGGTTGCAATCGGCCGCACCAAACGTATATAAATATGTTTTATATATATATATATCCCCTCTGTTACCCGGCTCAGTGATCTCAGTTTCTTTACTCTTATATGTTTGTAAATTGTAAATTTTTTGCTTTAAAAATCAATTTTAAAGTTGTCTAAGTGCCGCAAAGCCTATTTTTTATGACGGTCATTGATGTTTACATTTGAAACAGGAGACTAGTGGATTTGTTGCCAATCTAGAGAAAATTAGCTTCGCAACAACAAAGATAACGCATTCATTTATTATTGCCAATTAAATCATGCTTAATTCTTTCTAGAACTTTTTCGAGGAAATAAGTGTTTAAGATTTACTTCGTAATTTTTAATATAGATATTTTGAGTTTTTATGTATTTTTGTCTTCTTGCGAAGTGAGAACGGAATTAATTAAATGAGAAATACTCAATCGTCTGTGAAAAACTGTTCCTTTTTTGTTTCGTTTGCTTAATTTCTTTTATACATCATTCTAGCTTTATTATAGTATTTGAATAGAACATGTGGCAACGATTAGATAATTCTATTCTTTAAATGATATAAATTTGTGCATTATGAGTTATAATATGAACGAAATATATAAGTCAACTGTTAAATATAATTATTGGATTATATGACAGTTAACTTAGTTTCCGTTACATAATCATTATAATAGTTAACTGTTACATAAATATTAATACTGTTAAGTGAATCTAGCGCCAGAGTGTCGCTTTGGTAAACAAATACTAGAGTGAATTTTAAAGAATGCATTTATTCTCTTGTGGTTTACGCGCTGTCGGCGAAGTAGATTTAATTCAATCCAATAAGTTTAAATGAAATGCAAGAAAAAATGCGTATAATTTAATATTCCGTACAAGGAAGTCATGTGGTGTACACATCAGGTTTTTTAATTAATGCAAATAATATTACGAGTTGGCTATGTTCCAATACTTAATCCTGCCAGTGCTATCTAGAACACGAATTCTATAGGATTCTGTGAATATAATATCTTGTTTGAATACATACATACATATATATATATATATATGAGGGGGAGTTGAAGATGATATCCTTAAGTAAATATTACTTACACACCACACATCCGTAATGAATAATAATTGATAACTACAGATTTGAATTTGAATAACAGTACCGTTGGGTGTTCTCGCGCTTGTTAGATACAAATACAGTTCTTCATAACTTTTAGTATTTAAATAGCAACTCAGCGCCTACTCGCGCTCGCTATATTAACAGAGTTCTTTTGTTACCACCTTCGCGTGGAAACATCTATCTTCATCGTCTTTCGCTTCGCTCTCTCTCTCTCTCTCTATATATATATATATGTATATATATATATATGTATATATTTCAAAATAATAATCTGCATGTACTGCTCATCTCGTAATCTCTTCATATCAGAAGTAAATTTCTATGCTATATTTAAATTTAGTTACAAATGCAAAGATTTCGGCTCAATGTTTGTATGGCCCCTGAAGGATTTTAATATCAAATATTTCGGTCACATTATATCATACGGGAGTCAATCATTGTTGTAATAGCTTTTTATAACAAATACAAAATGTTCTTGAATATACGTATATATCGCAGTGCAGCGAGTAAAAATTCAAATTTCGTTTTGGCATTTTGCGTTGATTTACTATAAACGGCTAATGACTTTTTAAATTGTTGCCACCAAAAATTATAGCCCTGTATTACATTTAAAGAAATTATATAATAAAGAATCTCCATAAATGTATGTATGTTTCGCGTATTGTGATAAAACAAAGGTACCTGGAACCATTGGATTTCGAATAACGTTCGTCTCCACCCGAATATAGGCACCAGGAAGCTCAATTCGGAATTTGAATTTTTTATATTTTGTATTTTGTAAAGCATTCATGAGTTTTTGATTAAGAACTCAGCGATTTCAAAGCGTGTAATGGCAACACTGTACAAAAAAATTATCTGCAACACGCGTGAATCTGTATCGGAAATTCTAATGATATGCTCTTTTATATATTTATTTTGTGATATTGCTGTTGCTATGAATTGTATAGTTTTTTACTGCAAAGAAGAAGATATTTAATAAAGGTAACATAAAAAACGTTAAAATCGTCCCTTTGTGCATAATATAAAATCTCAAATGTTTCAGGTTTTTTTTTTAATTATTTATTTATTTATTTCAATTTAAAAAGGAGAAGATCAAAATATTTGCATCATTTAAAACCCTTTTGTAAAGGGAAGTATATATATATGATTAAAGCTGCGTAAATAAAGGTAAGAACTTTTGTAAACACAATCGTGTACAATCGAATGAACATAACAAATGTTGTGTAGCAAAATTAAGTGGTTTAATTAATTAAAGTTTTATTATAAATTAATTTATTATTTGCTCCAAAGTATACTACACAATGCTTAGTTTTTTAATCAATGTATTAATTTGTTCTTCTATTAATTGAGGTTTTTGTAAATTAAGTTCAACGCAATTTTTATCACTCAATTCTCTGAGTTCGCGTGAAAGAGACATTGAGAAATGAGGAGAATTTCTGTGTAATATTGTAGTTTAAAATTACTTAATATGTATAATTCAAACGTAGACTGTTAAAAGCAGAAAAATTTGTTATTTTATTTAAAATTACCTTAATTAAGATAGCTGTAATAGTTTTTGATATATGCCAGTTTAATTAACTAAATTCTGTAATCTGGCTAAGATTTTTTCTGAGGAGGTGAATTTCGTCATTTCATGGTGTACATGAGTACGATAAACGTCATTTTTCCCTGTCCTTACTACGGTCACTTTCAACATCAGGTCGCAGGGGGAGGAGAGGTGGGTTAGTACTGCTTTTTTGGCGGTTTGGTGAAAAAGGGGCTAAAATGGTTTGAACTACTGAGCTGAAAAATTACATTTTTTTCCACTTTTTTCTTCCGTGTGATTTTGAGTGGGAGTTTTTCTGCAAATTGGGTGATTACACCGGGATGTGGAAGACGCTCGGATCAAAAGCGAGGAACGCTCCGATTTTCTTGCTCTTACGCTCCTGTTCTTCTGCCTATTTCGTGAAGTGACTGCCTGAATAAAGGCATCTGCTCGATGGTTTTTTGAAAATATGGATACCGTGACTTAAGAATTTTTCCCCAGGATGATACCTTCTGATTCAACACTGACTCCGACCCAAGCCAACTGTCTTCTCACCTAAATAAGTACTATTTCATTTAAGGAACTGCGTATCGTATTTTTCAAGTGATGCTTCACCACTATTTGGGAGTTTAATGTTTCGTTTCACGGCTTCGTACAGTGACAGCTCTGGCTGGTCAGCGTTCCATCGGCCCGTGTTTGCCCTCCAGTTCTGCATCATAGTATCGTCCGGAGGAGCTTTCATCGGACTTTCTTCCCGGCCGGTGATATTCGGAGACAAGACCTGACGTCGAGAGCCAGATACCATCTTCATGACGTCGGGAGCCAGGTAGCATCTTCTTTCATTTTCACCTTTTTCATAGGGTATCTAGGTGGATGGGCTGCGTCCTACTTGTCACCATCTTCATGAACTCTGGGTATTTGTTGTTAACCTGACGTAGATGGAGCTTCAGAGTGATCTGTCGGCTTCCGACGAATAATATGGAGTTCCTCACCGCTCAGCCTGGACTTTCAAACTAAGCTATCGTCAATTTTTTTTTTTTTTTTTTTTTTTTTTTTTTTTTTTTTTTTGTTCTACAAATTCGTAAGATTTGTTGCAGTTCTAAATTTGAGCATCTTAAAGATTAAAATAAAAAGGGGGGAAAAGATAACTAAATTTTTTTTAAAAAAAGGTAGAGTTCCAAATTTAAACCCTAAGATTGAACTTTGATTCTGAATTTGTATTTCCAAAATGCGTTTAAGTTAAGATTAGCGTGTATTCCTAAATTATTTTTTTTCTATGTGTAGCTACTTTATTTTGAGGTTCTCATTTACAGTGCAATATAGATTCATTTTTTT